AAGGGCCTGCCCCGCTCTGCCGACCAGCTGACGATCAGCTGTTTGTTGGCAGATCGGGGCAGTCTGGACGCGCCGCTATCAACAAGGAAGCCTTTGTCGATTGGTGCAGGTAAACCTGGTTTCACGAGGCATACCTGCGCCAATTGACAAAGGCTTCCTTGTCGACAGCGGCGTGTCCAGACTGCCCTGATCTGCCGACAAACAGCTGATCGGCAGAGCGGGGCAGCCATTTAAATTGAAATGAAGCCGCGATTATTTAAATCGCGGCTTCATTTCCCTATGCCGGGTAGCCTAATCTACATGCCTCTGTCGCCAGAGGCATGTAGTCTAGACATGCCCTCAGCCAGTGGGGCATAACTGAGACTGATGGGCTGCAGAGGTATCATGCTGGCCAAGTGCACAGGAGTGCATGGCACCCTAAGGCTACGGTTCTTAACCTTTGGGATCAGGACCCCACTGTAAACCTTCATGGCATGACGCAGTCCATAGCTTTAGTGCCCAACACATCTGGCTTAGGAAATATTTTGTCCCATGGGGTACAGTGCGCACATTAATGTATAAATAGTAAAATTGTGCACGTGTATATACCAGAGCGGTGGCTGCTGTCCTGTGGGGTGAGCTGGGTCTGGCTCACCCTTCCAGGCATTGCAACTTCTGGGATCACAGCGCTACTCGGGTTTGGCCAGATGCCTTCTCAGGAAGCCAGCCAGGCCAAATGTGCGTGAATAGGGTTGCCAGGTGTCCGGTATTGGCCTGGACAATCTGGTATTTGCGGCCTCTGTCTGGTGAAAAAAACAGAAAATACTGGACAAGAAAAATGTCTGGTATTTTCTGTTTTTCTCAGACCGAAGGCCACCTGGGACATTCTTCCCCTGCTGCATCTGTCTGGGGTGTGGGGGGAATGTGGGGGAGCGTGGGGATTTAAAGGTACAGCAACTCAACAACTTTGGTCCCCCCCCCTCCCTTTTTTATTTTTTTGCTCCACCAATTTTTTTCCTGCCATGTTCGGTATATTTTGTGAAAGTATCTGGCAACCCCATGCATGAGTGGTGTTGCGATCCGGTGCATAGTGCCACAAGGTCATTCCCACAAATTTGGCCCATGACAGAGGGGTGACTGGGCCAAAACTGACCTGTACTGCAACCCTGCAGCCAAGTCACAAAGTCCAGAGAGGGAAGCTGAGACCAGTCAGCCCTGCGGGTCAGGAGCTATCACTGCCGGGAGACTGTGAGATGCAGCCCTCTTCGCCCCGGCCTCCCACGTGACATCTTGGAGACCCAATTTTGAGTTGCAACCTGCAGGCTGAGAAACCTTGCCCTGAAAGGTTAATGGTCTTGTTTGAGACAGGAAGTCACCGTTAGCTCCTTTCTCTTAAAGTGAAATCTCCACTTTTGGTTCTGACGAGTCTTTCTGGGCTGCTGTGCTTGTAGATCCAGGCTCCCTGTGCAACACTCCCTACATCATGTTCTATACAGACGTCAAAATAAACCGCCTGTAATAACCTGACTGTACAAAACATAAGGAAACTGTCAGGAGGGGATGGTCTCCCTTTAGTCTTGTCTACATGGAGACACTTAGGCAAGTTAATTCAAATGTACTAAAAGTGTGAATTTAAAATGCATTAGTTAAACCTCATTAAACCCCTCACCAGTTAATTAAACTACATTGAATGAAGACCACTTTCATTCTGAACAGGAAAGGGGTCTAATGTGGTTTAACTAACCCACCTTAAGTTCACACCTTAAATTCATTCACGTTAAGTTTCTTAAATGTCCCCTTATCATAGAATCATAGAATCATAGGACTGGAAGGGACCTCAAGAGGTCATCGAGTCCAGTCCCCCGCCCTCAAGGCAGGACCAAGCTCCGTCTACACCATCCCTGACAGATGTCTATCTAACCTGTTCTTAAATATCTCCAGAGAGGGAGATTCCACCACCTCCCTGGGCAATTTATTCCAATATTTGACCACCCTGACAGTTAGGAATTTTTTCCTAATGTCCAATCTAAACCTCCCTTGCTGCACTTTAAGCCCATTACTCCTTGTCCTGTCCTCAGAAACCAAGAGGAACAAATTTTCTCCTTCCTCCTTGTGACACCCTTTTAGATATTTGAAAACCGCTATCATGTCCCCCCTTAATCTTCTTTTTTCCAAACTAAACAAGCCCAGTTCATGAAGCCTGGCTTCATAGGTCATGTTCTCTAGACCTTTAATCATTCTTGTCGCTCTTCTCTGTACCCTTTCCAATTTCTCCACATCTTTCTTGAAATGTGGCACCCAGAACTGGACACAGTACTCCAGCTGAGGCCTAACTAGTGCAGAGTAGAGCGGCAGAATGACTTCACGAGTTTTGCTTACAACACACCTGTTGATACAACCTAGAATCATATTTGCTTTTTTTGCAACAGCATCACACTGTTGACTCATATTCAACTTGTGGTCCACTATGACCCCTAGATCCCTTTCCGCCATGCTCCTTCCTAGACAGTCGCTTCCCATCTTGTATGTATGGAACTGATTGTTCCTTCCTAAGTGGAGCACTTTGCATTTCTCTTTATTAAACCTCATCCTGTTTACCTCTGACCATTTCTCTAACTTGCTAAGGTCATTTTGAATTATGTCCCTATCCTCCAAAGAAGTAGCGTAACGTAATTGCATATTTCCTCGGTGTGTTGCTTTACTGTGTCACCTCTTGCAGTCTCACCATATCTCCTAATATAGGCAGGATCAGGCTAATCCGTATGTGGATGGGGGACCTCAGAGAAAGAACCAGAGTGCTTGTCGTGGTGCTTTGCACGTGGCAATTTCTCCATGATTCAGCAGTAATTCCAGTGCTCCAGTAGCGTGCCAGAGGATGCCGTGTTGCTGAAGGAGCTGGTCTTTCAGATAAATAAAACAGAAGTCAGGAAAACGTGGGGTCCTTTAAGATCCCCTGGCGGAGTTAAAGGCATTGTATGCTAGCCAAATTTCAGCTCAGTTACTTACCGTCTGCAAGCCATAAGTTCCTCCTGACATTGCAGCTGAATGACGCATTTTCCTTAGTTTCCTGTCTTGAAATATTTTAGGTTTCCTCTTTGCAACAGGCCTGGGCCTGCAAGTTTTGTAGTGCACGTGTAGGCTAGGTACTCTGAGGCGCCCGTGTTCAGCCTGGGGCCTACAGTTCCTTTGGCTCACACAGAACTTGTAGGTAAAAACTGCACCGACCGAAGGGCTTTTTACCTGTGCCCCTCCCAGCGTGGGGTGACAAACCAGGGCTAGCGGGGTTTGCACGAGAGCTCTAAGAATAGCTGTGGAAGCAGCATGTTGTGGCTGCTTCTCTGGCTGCAGCTTCGCTTCTGAAGCCGACCCGAAGCTTGACAGCCTGTGCTACAGCTTCAGAGCACTGTGCACGCAGCTGTTTCTCCAGCGCTAGCGTGCACCCTGCTAGCCCGAGTTCATCGCCCCAACGGGGCAACTCGATGCCGCAGGCAAGGCAGAGATACACAGCGTGTCCCAGTGGCCCGTGTCACAGCACTGTGTTCAGACCTACTCACAGGAGGGAAAAGGGGGCAGTTGCCCTAGGGCCCGGCGATTCACACGGCGGGGGGGGGGG